CAGTAGCTGGTGCGGCGTCGTCCCCAGCGGCAACACCGACCGCTCAAGGCAGTTGCGCACCCAGACGGCCTGCCGCAGGGCGAGGTGCCACCAGTGGTGCTGCACTCTCATGTGCAGCAGCATCGTCCGCACGGACTCGACCACCGTCCGTATCTCCCTCTCCGCCATGCCGTTCTGCTGCGGGGTGTACTGGCAGGTCAAGTTGTGGACGATGCCCTAGCCATCGACGAAGTCGGTGAAGGCCTTTCCGAGGAACTCGCATCCGCGGTCTGCCGCTCGATGACCGTTAGCCACTTCTCGAAGACGCCGAGCACGTCGCTCTTCTTAGCGACCGGCTTCACCCACACGTAGCGGGTCTTGCGGTCCTTAAGCAGGAGGAAGTACATGCTACCGTCCTTGGCGGCCATTCAGAACGGCCCGCACAAGTCGATGTGCACGACGGCCAAGGCTTCGTCAGCGTCCAAACCATTGTCGGGGAAGGTGTGCCGCGCCAGCTTGCCATCGATGCAAGAGACACACGGGCCCCAGTCGACCGCTTGATGTCCAGGCCGGTGGCGACTTCATGATTCGCCGAGTGATGGTGTCGACGCCGACGTGCGCGAGCCTCGCGTGCCACCTGTCCGGCGTTGACTTCGTCGCCGAGGCGATCGTCTACAGGGCCACCTCCGACGTCGAATTCGTCGAGCAAAGGCGAAGGTCGGTGCAGAGGACCCGGCCGGTGTATTTTGACGGACCAAGCACGTCCCCCGCCGCCGAGCCGAGCAGCATCTCGTCGTCGTCGTCCTGCAGCTTAACCCCGCTATCCTTCAGCTGGCCAGTCTACAGCAGGTTCGCCTGCACGCCCGGGACGTAAAGCACGCCGGGCACGAGGACCTGCTTCCCGGCCTCCCCTTGCAAGGCGACGGTGCCACGACCCTGGACGACCTGCAGCGCCCTATTGAATCCGCGCACGTGCTTCATGTTGCCGCTCGGCTCCATGTCGACGAAGGCCTCCTTCGTCCCCATCAGGTGGTGCGAGCAGCCGCTGTCGAGCAAGGCCACCGTCTGATTAACCTGCACGGCGGCTGCGACCGCCTTGAGGTCCTCGCCGGCCTTCGGTGCCAGCGAGACGGTCGGCTCTACAACGCCGACCAACGAGCATGACGCCTCCCCATTGCCTCGTCCCTTGCCGCCAGAGGAGGAGTCGGCGTCATTCGCCGACGTCGTCGACTTGGTCGACTGCTTCTCCTTGCGCGGCTTGTTCTCTCGACGTGGACGGAGATTGGCGACCTTCCATGCCTCCCTTGTTGTCGTCCTTGTCGCTGTCGTCGCGGTCGGGACACTCGAAGGAGAGGTGCTCGGGGTCGCCGCAGACCCAACACTCTCGCCGTCGACCACCACCTCCTCGAACGCCATTCCGAGCCGACTTCGTCTTGTCGGCTTTCTTCGTCGACTTCCTACCTCCGCTACCACCTCCGCCCGGATTCCCTCGCTGCCCCTGCTGACAACTCTGCTTTGTTGGGGCGACGTAGTTCGCCTGCAGAAGGAGCTCCATGGGCCGTTCAGCTTCCTGCATGGCCTCGCCCTTGATAATGTGCGAGGTCAGCGTGTCTGTCAACATATATTTTATATGTGTTGTTTAGGTTAGTCTAGGTGTTACATTCATATTACCTAGGGTTTCTATATCTTGTTGTACCTTGTTTTTCCTTAGTCAATTCTCTTCACCCGTAAGTCTCTTGACATGGTATAGAGCTAGAACGTCCTATGGGCCCACCTCCCCGTAGCGCCCTAATGCCCGAAGCGCCCTAATGCCCGAAGCACCCTAATGCCCGTAGCGCCCCGTCATCTTACTAGTTCGCGCGTCACCCGTCTTGCCCCGAGCGCGCCACCCGTTTTGCCCCGCTCGCGTCACCCATTTTTTTGGCTCGCCAGCCCGCTAGCGCGCAGCCGTAGGCGTAGCCAAAGCCACGCGCAGCCATAGCCGTAGGCGCACGCAGCTGTAGCCGCACGCACGGCCGCTCGCGCAACCGCACGCGCACCCGCACGCAGCCCCCTAGCCCGCCGCCCCAATCGTTCTCGCTGCCTCACCTGTAGCCCGCCGCCCCAGCCAGATCTGCCACCCCACCCTTTCCTCGTCCCCGTGGACTCGACGTTCTCCCCTCAGTCGTGCTCTGTCTCCAGAGCCCCGTCGGTCTCGTTACCGTGCAGACGGCCCGTTTCACCTTGTTCTCCGCTCTCGTGTTCCACCTCCTCCGGTCCTTCCACAGCCTCCTGAGTCGTCCCTCACTGTGTTTCCCGACCCGTTGTCCGACTACCTCCGTGCCTCACGTCCTCTCGTCTCCCGTGTTTTGTCCGCGTTGGTCACTCACCCGACTGCACCTCTGTCGTCTGTCTCAGCTCTTGTTACCACTATCGCTGGCTTTGCCTCTTCCCACCGCCTGGACTACGCTGCTCACCTGGTGAGTGGGCCTGCTCGTTCTCCAACTTCTGGGGGTGCTCCTGATTTTCCCCTGGAGGTCCTGGAGGACATGCAGTTTGAGCTTGGTTTCCTTGCGGCCGCTGTTCCTCATCTCTGTGCTATGCTGCTTGTCCCTGAGGGGGATCCAGATGCTCTTGACATCCCGATCCCTTGCAATCACGCTGAGGCAGTCTCGGGACCTTGGGCCTCATACTGGATAGCAGCTGAGGATGCAGAAATGGCATCTTATAGGTCCACAGGCACCTACGTCGACGCCGTCCCACCACCTGGGACGAACGTCGTCAGTGGCCGGTGGCTTTACAAGGTGAAGCGGCCGCCTGGATCACCACCGGTGTTCAAGGCGCGCTATGTGGCGAGAGGCTTCAGTCAGCGAGAGGGGGTAGACTTCTTCCAGACCTTCGCTCCTACCCCGAAGATGACTACTCTTCGGGTGTTGCTGCATATTGCAGCCCAGCGCGACTACGAGTTGCACTCCTTGGAATTTTCCACCGCGTTCCTTCAGGGGAGGCTGCACGAGCAGATCTGGCTGCGTCGCCCGCCCTGCTTCACTGGCTCTTTCCAACCTGGGACCCAGTGGCAGCTGCGTCGACCGGTCTACGGCCTTCGCCAGGCTCCACGTGAGTGGCACGACACACTTCGCTCGACCCTTGCAGCGCTTGACTTCTTTCCGTCGTCTGCGGACCCGTCACTGTTCGTCCGCCGTGGCTCGACCCCGTTCTTTGTTCTGGTCTACGTTGACGACCTGATCTTCACCACTTCCGACCGACGTGCGCTGGCCTCCGTGAAGGAGGAATTGCAGAGGAGACACACTTGCAGTGACCTTGGTGAGCTGCAGCACTACCTTGGCCTGCAGATCCACCAGGGATAGGGCAGCTCGCACCATTACGCTGACGCAGTCGCATATGGTCGAGCAGATCCTCACGCCGTTTCGCTTCCCATTCTCCAAGGTACAGCTCACCCCTCTTGCTGTGGATCATGGGCTCACGGCTCCACCTTCGGACGAGTCATTTGAGTCCAATGGTCCATATCCTTAGTTGGTAGGTTGTCTCATGTACCTGATGACCTGTACTCGCCCAGACCTAGCTTACCCTCTTAGCGCCCTTGCGCGCTTTGTTGCGCCTGGGAGACACCGACCGTCCTAATACGCTGCTAATAGGGTGGCGAAGTATGTGGCGAGTACATCAGGCATGGGACTTGTCCTTGGAGGGAAGCAGCCAGTTACACTCACATGTTACTCGGACTCGTCGTGGGCCGACGACGCGGAGAAGCGTCGGTCTACACGGGGGTACTCGTTTACCCTCGGGACAGGTGCTGTTTCGTGGCGGTCGACTCGGGCGTCGTCCGTCTTCGGTTCCAGCTGTGAGGCAGAGGTGTACGTTGCGGCCATGGCCGCTCAGGAGCTTTGCTGGTCGTTGTTTCTCCTCACCGACCTTGCTGAGTGGCCTTGCTCTCCCCTAGTCTTGTTCGCCGACAACACGTCAGTTGTCCTGTTGTGTGAGGAGCCCCAACTGGTTGGGAAGGCGAAGCACATCCAGCTGTGTTACTTCCTTCTGTGTGAGTTGCAGCAGCGTGGCCAGGCTCGCGTCGTTCGTGTGCTCTCTGAGGCCAACACTGCAAATATCTTCACCAAGGCGTTGCCGCCTTGTGACCACCAGCGTTTCTGCACCCAGCTTGGCCTTGTGTCGGCCCGTCCTAACTTGCTTACGTAGAGATGATTTGTCCTGCTTGTCTTGTACTCTTGCATCTCATTATATTTTCTATATACCTGCATGTGGACTGACCTTGTGGCCCTTTGCTTGCTCTCGGAGTGTGTTGTGACTCTGAGCTTCACCCTGAGATTTGTCTTGTTCTTGTGGATTGGTCTTGTGACCCTTGCTTGTTCTTGCTGACTGGTCATGTGACCCTTGCTTGCTCTCAGACTGTGTGTGTCCTTGAGACCCACCCTGAGATATGTGTTGTTTTCCACATGACTACCGTCACCTAGACTATGGGGGTGTGTCAGCATATATTTTATATGTGTTGTTTATGTTAGTCTAGGTGTTACATTCATATTTTTTAGGGTTTCCTATATCCTGTTGTACCTTGTTTTTCCTTAGTCAATCCTCTTCACCCGTAAGGGCGCGTAACTTTTTCGCATCCCATCGTCCGGACGGAAGCCCCGTCCGGACATTTGTGTGGTTACCCGTTTCGCCGAATCTCGTTTGTTAGTTCGCACATCTGCCTGCGACGTCGCGCACGTCCGTACGATGCCTGACACTTTTTTGGCAGAGCACCGACCGTACCACCCTGCAGACACCGTTCGAACAGCAATTCGGACCGTCCGGAACTGCTGCAACGTCATTGGCGCGCGAATCATGGTTTCTGTCAAATTTGGCGACACATTTTCCCGCTACGGACTGTCAACATTTCGAGCCGCGATCACCATGTTGGAGGGAAATGAAAACACAACATGTCTTTGGAAGTCCAAACGAACACCAATGCAAAGCACTAGAAAAAGGAGCCCAAGTTTCAAACAACCACACCTCATAGCTATCTGAACACCATGGAACCCTCCTCCGTCGCCGACAATTCAGAGCCCGCAGACACACAGCAAACTGAGCAGGCAGCGCCAAGCACTCCCCGGCCTGCGCCAGAGACGCAGGAATCGCAGCTACATCAGGCGACGAACACCCCAGGTCGCGCTCGGAACGACACGCTGCTCAATGACCCCACTTGGTGGGGAAATAACCTCCCGTCGCCAAGTGACAGCTATGACGAGGATGAAGACCTTGGCGTAGGCGAGGAGGTGGCAGACGCCGCCCCACCTGGGACGCAAGAAGAGCAACCCGCCAATGCATCGAACGCCAGAGATGACGGACAGCCAGGCACGTCTTGTCGTTCTGACGCCAGGACCACGTGTTGGCAACCTGAGGAGGAGTGGGAGCTGATTTGCGCCCGCTGGGATCTCGACGACCGCATCCGCGCTCAGACCGGTCAGCAGGGGCGCTCATGGTATGTCACGATGCATCGCGAGCTCGTGGCGCGTCTTCCTGAGTGGCGTCACGACGCCAATGCGATTAAGGCGAAGATCAACCGTATGCGGGACACCTACTTGCGCTGGCGGGATAAGGGCGTCCGAGTGAGTGGCGGGCCGCGTCCGAGAGGCTTGCCGGCGTGGTACCACATCGCCGACGACATATGGGGTACGCGGCCAGCCATTGTCCCCCCTGTGCTTGCAAGTTCTGATGATACCAATCCAACAACACAGCCCACACAAAACAATCCCACCACCGACCTCCAAATTAATACAACCGCCCCTAACCAGGCACCCGCCAGTGTTGCCACAGACCCCATAAGACCCACTCCCTTACAGCCCATCGTTCCGCGGGGAGCTGCCAGCGCTCCCGCGGCCCCAGCCCCGCGTCCTGCCGCAGTGCCACGCCGCCGCGGCTTTACGCCGCTTTTCGGATTGGGTCCTCCAGCGCGGGTGACGGAAACGACTTCTCAGGCGCCGGCAGCTGGACAGCCCACGCCTACTGCTCCGGCATCTCTGACGGGCTCGCCAGTAATGCCCGCGCCTCTTGCGACGCCGTTACCACGTTCAGCTCCGACCACGCCTTCGCCTGCATCTCCAGCTCCTCGTGCTCCGCCGTCCGCGCCACTGGGGCCAGCTACAGCTCCCCCGTCAGCGACGGCACCTCGTTCCCCGCTGACGCTGCCAACCGCGCCTCTTGCGACGCCGCCGACCTCGCCTCTTGCGACGCCGCCGACCGCGCCTTCTCCTCTGTCGCCTGACACGATCACCCGACCAGCACCAACTCCAACACTGACTGGTGCACCTGATGAAGCGGGACCGTCAGGCGTCTCCGGTACGTCTGCGGGGATTTCCATGCGCAGCCGCCGCCTCACCTACGGGGTGCGTCCGACGTCTGACGGGGGGGAAGGGTGCTCAAGGCATGCGTGGTACCAGTATCCTCGCAAGCCCGACGACAAGGCACACAATGCTAAGGCCCCGCGGAAAGCGAAAGATAAGAAGAAGAAGAGCGACATCTTGGCTGAGGTGGCGGGAGATATAAGGGATCATTTCGCGCGGTCGGAAAGCAAACAAGACAAGCAGTGGGAGGAGTTCAAGGAACTTACCCGTGAGGCGTTTGCCGATTTTCGGGATGCGCGACGAGCCAGGAGGCGTAGATCGCTGCGGTCATCCTCCTCATCCGAAGCTGAGGACTGAAACCACGTACGCCGGCGCCGGTAAGTCTTAGCCGAGCCGCCGGTCCCTCCAGCCACCATCGGTGCCTGACGTTCGGTGGGCCGAGGCGGTCCCTCGACCCAATTGTAAGTTCAATGTTATGAAGGGTGATGCAGGCGCCGATGGTGTCAGGGACCAGCCTGGTATGGCACTCCATCCGCTCATCGAGTATGCGCCATTTCCCCTTCAGCCTGCCATTCACACACTCGATTATCATTCTCTGCCTGCTCTGCTGTGTGTTCCACTTGTCTTGCGGGTCTGGCAGGCCGACGCCGGGAGTAGCGCGATACGGCAGACACGTGTAGCTTCGGAGTCCGTACGCTGCGTCGGCGACGAGCATGTAGTCTCCAATGTCTCCTGCGTCGATTCTTCTTTTTGCCGTAGAGTTGTTAAACACTCTCGCATCGTGGCAGCACCCAGGTTAGCCTGCTAGATAGCTCCATATAATTCCGTTTGAGTCACATATTATTTGTAGGATGATGCTGTAGAAGCCCTTTCTGTTTTTTAAATCTTCTCTGTGTCTGCCAAAGCCACGGCAATGAATGTACGTGCCGTCAACTGCGCCTACAACCCCGGGAATACCACCCTCGTAGCGGAAATCCTCGGCCATTTCGGCTAGCTGGTCGGGATCAGGCCATGGTATCCACAACGGACCCAGTTGTTCTTTAAGGAAAACGATGAACCCACGGATGAGTCGTTGGGCGTGCTGTGGCACGACCCCAAACTGGAGCCCTATCTGCCGGTAGGTGGCTCCGGTGCCAAGAAATACGAGCGTCATAGCCACGACTGTCTCGACGGACACGATTCTGCGCCTTGTGCCGTGTCTGCTCGTGTATGCATCGACGAGGTAATCGAAGACGTTGCGGTCCACACGGAGAGCGTCAGTGAATATTTGAAGCGGGAGATTGGCGAGGAGAGATGACCATCTCTCCCTTTGAGACTCACGGTCGGATTGCATGAACTCACGATCGTCATCGTTGTCTTCGAGATCTGCGAGAAGCGGCAGTAATTGCACTATTCGGTCGTGACGAGGGCGGCCGAATATTAGCTGATACTCGCGATAGAGCAGTGTCAAGACTGCCACTAGCTGCCTTGAGGACATTATGTGCGGGTGTGGTGTTCGGCGGAAATTGAAAGCACAAAGAGACGCATAGCTCCATTTTGTTGGTGATGTTTGGAGACCACGTCGGGGAAGAGAAAGACGTGGTTGGAATCGAGCATCGTGAGACCGAGGCGCGGATACATGCGTGCGAAGTGGGCGATGTGATGGCGAGTTGGGTTATGGTCGTTACGTGTTCGTTGACATTTCAAATTTCGAAAACACAAAAAAGTGTCAAACATGTGGTCCGGACGCTCTATCGTCCGTACCATAGAGCCAGACGTCCGGACAGAGCTCCGTTCGGACGTTTTGGGGGCTCCGTCCGGACAACTGCCAAAATGCGAAAAAGTTACGCGCCCTAAGTCTCTCGACAGTATCCTCGTCCAGCGACTCACGCACACCGGGCATCGCCAGCATCCGGCGCATCATGTTGTAGCCGGACGGGAGGCCCTTGACGACGTGCGTGATGTACGACGCCGTCGAGTAGTCGATGCCAGCCATCCTCATGTCGGCCAGAATCCGTCGAGCACGGTTGCAGTGGTCGGTCGCCGACTCCTGCTCGCCTATCCTTATGTGGGCCAGCTTCTCCTCCAGCTGGCTGATGTACAAGTCGTCGGTCGACTTGTACGTCGACATGATGAACCACCACGCCTGGTGGCTGGCGTCCAATCGAAGTCGGCATGGCTTGAGGGCGACCTGCACCATCGGCGAGCAGCACCGCGAGATGACCATGAAGGTCAGCAGGTAAGCGGCGCGAAACTCCGCCCGGAGCTCGACGTCGGCCTCGTCCATCGTCTCCACGTCGCCGTCGGCGAACGACTTCAGGCCGGCTATTTCCAGCTGGGGCTCGATCGACTTCGTCCACGTTATGAGGTCGTGCCGACCTTCCAGCAGCTTGAGCACGGCGATTTTGTCCGGCGATAACTTGAAGTAGCCGTACGCCGGCGCAATTCCACCGTCCCGCCCAGCCGACATGTGGGTCGCCGACGTCGGCCCGACACCACTTCACTGGGGAGAGCGACACCGTCCACTGACTTCGCCGTGCGAGCTGCCTGCAGCCGCCGTCGACCGCAGCCCTCTCGCCTGCATCCCGCCGACGCCGACGTCAGCGGACCTGATCACTCCACGCGTCACCCGCGTGCCTTGTTCGCTGTCGACTTTGTCACCCCATCGACCTCCTCGTTGACGCCGCCTTCGTTGCGTGCCGGTCGAGGAGAGGCAGGTTGGGAGGGGTGTTCCGTCGCCCACTGCGCACGGATGCCCAGGAGGAGCACCTCCAAGGGGACTGACCCGAACTCGCCACCCGTGTGGCGTCTCCTCGCATCAGCCAACCGTGCCTCCATACTATCCTCTACACCGCCGGCCTCTTCCGGGATAGGCGTCATGGTTCAGCACTGGCTGCCGGCCTACGAACGACTTAGGTAACCCAAAAGTCGGCTACTATCTGAAGGTACGTTGCGAGGCCGTCCACGCTCACCGCACCATGCGCAGATCCACTCTACAACGGTGGGAGCTAGAATACGGGGCATGCACGGGTTGTGTGAGTGATCGCATCGTTCCTTAGCGTTCTCTACTTGCGCATTCACAACGAGAATTGGCAACAGTTTTACTAGAGAAAGTTCAGAACAATGGTTGCAACAACAATGGCAAAACTGACTACATCAGAAGCAAGTCTGCCTAGCGCACAGGCAGGTCGACCGCCAGCGCAGCAAAGTTGGCGACCTGCCAGCACTACAAGTCCGCACCGCTCCAGCGCTGCAGAGAGGCGACATTCCAACGTAGCAAGAAGGCGGCTTGCCAGCGCTGCAGCAAGGCGGCCGTCCAGCGTTGCATCCGTAGGTGACAGCAGCGCACATGCGCGCACCTACTTCGCAGGTGCTTGCAGACGGTTGGTGCTGTCAAACAATATTTTATATAGTTTATTCATTCGTAGTCTAGGTGTTTCTCTTTTGCCCTAGGTTAGGTTTATATTCCCTTGTACTTTCACATTCTAGTCAATTCTCACTTCTAAACATGGTATAGAGCGAGGTTTACCCTAACTAGGGTTTACCCTAGCGTTTTCCTCTCGATAGTTAAGGGCCCACCTAAACCGCTAGCACGTCCCCCGTAGCGCGCGCCCCGTCCGAACGCGCGCCTCGTAGCCCGTTTCCCACGTCGCCCGTATTTTTCGTGCCGCGCTCCACCGATCTCAACCTATCTTAACCGCACCAAAACCACTAGTACCGCACTCAACTGCACCAGGACCCCACCAGAACCGCATTCAACCGCGCTAGGACGCTCCTAGCCCCACCCCACTGCTCTTACCCGCACCCGACCGCCCTCCACCGTTCCCAACCGCTCTAGACCTGTCCCAACCGCACTCAACCTGTCTCAACCGCACCAGGGCAGCACCAGAACCACTAGTACCCCACTCAATCGCACCAGCCCACTCTTCACCGCTCCCGACCGCCCTTAGCCCCACCCGACAGCATAGAGGGCCTCTCTAGCCCTAGACGCCTAGCACTACTATGGCGACTGCTCGTGTTCTGCAGTTCGACCTTGAGGGACGCCCTGTCAGTTTCCCGGCATGGCTGCGGAAGCTCAAGCTCTACCTCGGCAGCCGACTCCGGAATAATATCCCTCTTTCCGAGCATGCCGCTGGTGAGCTGAAAGCCCCCCCCCCCTCCCGATCTGCTTGGTGATGATGCGCCAGCAGATGATCAGGCTGCCTATGCCCGGCGTCGCACTGAGCTTAGGCGCTGGGCTGCGCGTGACAATGCAACCATACTTGCTATCACTGACCTGCTGCCGTCGACCGAGCAGGAACACTTTGTGCAAGAGAAGACGGCTCACGCACTGATGAAAGCTGTGATCACTCGCTATTCAACCCTGGTCACTGTGACTCTAGGACGCCACATCCTCCCCTTTCTATTTCCTAATCTCCCGTCGTTCGTTAGGGTGGCTGATCTGATTCTCCACTTGCGCTCGCTTGATTCTCAGTTCCGCGCTGCCTTTGCTGACCCTGCCCTTCTCGTCAAGAACACCCCCCCCCTCCCCCCCCCCCCCCCATGTACATAACCCTGTACCTCCTAGCCTCCCGTCTCCCTGATCGCTTCAAAACTGCTCGCGATCACTTTCTCACCGTGGACCCAACGACCCTCACCATTGAGCTCTTTGAGGAAAAGCTCCTTGCTTTAGAGGGTCCTGCTCGCTCCCTTGCTGCCATTATTAGTGCTGTCCTCCCCCTACCTTTGAGGGGTGTGCCCCGTCCTTCCTTGCTTCCTCTGTGGCCTCGGCCTCTGTTGCTACTGCAACAGAGGTGGCAGCCGTTGCCTCTGGCAACAAAGGGGGCAAGAAGGGCGGTAAGAAAGGAGGAGGTGGTGGTAGCGGTGGGGGTAGCGGAGGGGGTGGTGGTGGAAGAGGTGGAGGAGTGGAGGAGGTGGAGGGAGTGGAGGAGGTGGCGGTTCC